TTTTACGGGTTAAAAAAAAATTGTTGTACTTTGTTGTTTTTCCAGTGAAAAAATACTTATTTATTTTTTAAACGGGGAAACAAAATTTTGGGTTTAAAAAAAATTAAATTTTTTTTTTATATTACATTTTTTTAAATTTCCCGGACGCCCCGGGAAGTATTGAGATTTTTTTTTTTCCCTTTCATTATTTTGTTTTTAAAAATATTTTTTATACATGTATTTTTAAAACCGGAAAAAAAATCTTTTTTAAAAAAATTTTTTAAAATTTAAAATCTATTAATAAACCCAATAATCGATTGTTTTTTTATATTGTTTAAAACCCAAAATTTTGTGCAATGAAAATTCTTTTAAAAAAAAATCTCTTAGTAATGCTAATGTATTATTGTACTTTATATAATTTATATAGATATTTGATTGATTTTTTTAATGATGTTTTTAAATATTTTTACCAAAACCCACTATGGGGAAGGGAAAAAAAAATTTTAGCAATATGTTAAAGGCCTGAAAAGAAAAACATGTAAATGGGGCCAAATTTCAATCAAATAAAAACAACATAAATAAGGGGGTCTTAATACAATAAATGGATTTTTTAAGTAAAAAACCAAATTTAACTTTCCTTAAATCAAAAATAGTTTTAAAAAAAACCCCCAAAGTCTTAAGTACAATCAAAATCTTAATGAAAAAAAAATTCGTCTTATTACAAAATACGTTTATGTAAAACCCAATACGTCTTAAAATAAATTTTAAACTTTCTTAAGTATAACCAAAAAATCTTAATAAATAAATATGTTTGTACAAAAAATAGGCCCTTTTAATTTTACAATCAATAGGTTTTTTAGTTAAATTTAATCCTCTTAAGTACAACCAAAAACGTGTTATGTAAAATCAAACGTTTTTAAATTTTGGGTTTTTATTTATATTTGACCCCTTAAATAAAAAAAATTTAACACATAAAGGGAAAAATTAATTTTAAGTTTTTTTTTTAAAAAAAGTTTTTTTACAAAAAATTTTTGAAATTTTCCCTAAAAATACATTTTAAAAATGGGTAAAAAAAAAAAAAAAAAAACCAAAAATATTTTAAATTTGAATATAAAATTAAATTTTAAAAAATTTTTCATGTATTTAGAAAAATTTAACATATAAGTAAAAAGCAATTTTACATTGTTTGGTATTTTGTTTAAAAAAAGTGTGTAAAAATAACCTTACTTTAGGGAAAGGGGTTAGTTTTTTTTTTAAACCTTTACCACCCCCCCCCCGCTTTTTTATTTAAAAGGTTACCCATCTTTTTCAAAATATTTTAAAAAAAAAATGTTTTTACTGGTTTTTTTGTGTGAAAAAACGTTATAGGAGTATTTTGTTTTTAATTGACAAAAAAATTAAAACATACAAAGACATAACAAGGGAAGAATAAATTTAAAAATAAATTTTTAAAACATGAAAAAAAAACTTTTAAATAAATTTTTATTGGAAAAACTGTTTTTTCAAAAACCCAAAGTGTATGAAAAATTTAAAGCCTGTTCGGGTATTCGAACCCCTTTGTTGAATGACCACAAAACATTACAAAAATTCAAAATATTAAAAAATTTAATCAAAGAAATGAATAAATTACAGGGTTTTTCGGAAAAAATTAATCGAAACCCTTAAAGGCGTAATTGGTTAAACCTTTAAAAATTATAAAAAATTTAAAACCCCTTTTGGGACAAGGTGACTTAAATGTCGTTTACAACATAATTACCCGCTTTAATTAATTGACATTGAAAAAGGAAATCAGTGAAAAAACCCGGGGGAAATATTGGCAAAAACTTTGTATAAAAATATCTTTGACTCTTACAACCAAAGAAAATTTTTTCGTTTAAAAATTTTTTCAAAACCCATTTTAATTTTTTAACCAAGCTTTTTTTTGGGTTAAAAAACGGGCTGAAAAAAATAAATTAACAAACTTGATTGTGATAAAAATTCACTAGGTTTTTAAACCCTTTCCCAAAATTTCCCTTTTCATCTAAACCGGGTTTTTAAAAAATTGGGGGCCTGTTAAACCCAAAAATCGCGAGCGACTTTTAATCCCCCGGGGAAAACCGGAGTGAAAACGCACAGGTTTTAAATGATTTTAAAGATTTTCCCAATAACCCAAAACCCCGGGGTTACTCTTCCCCCCAATGACGCCCTAAACCCTTTTTAAACAATCTTTCGTGCTGATGGGTTTCCCGATTTTTGGGAGTTTTACGATGACGGTCAATGAAATTAATTCAATAAAAAAAACCGCTAAAAGGGGAAAAAAGGGGGAAAAAGATGTTTTTTGGCATTAAATTTTGGGTGTGTAAATGCCCCAAACAAAAATAAGCCCAAACTTATTTAAATTAACTTTTGCATTACCAGGGGCATTTTTTAAATTTCAAAGGGTTTTATTTAAAGTGATTTGGCTATAATGGAATTTTTTGTTATAAAATTATTTTTAAATAAAAATTTTATAAAGGGAATGATTTTGGAATTTTTTAAAATTAATGTTTAATTAAAATAAAACAAGCGTTTAAAAAAAAATTTATATTCATCAAAAAATGTTCAAAATTTAATCCATTTTAAAAAACAAAAAAGAAAATTTTTTTTTGGGTCTAAAGGGAAATTGTTTAAGAATACACAAATGATACATTCCCTATTTTTTCCCCTTTATCAATATTTGAAAAAAACCTTTATGGAAAATGTCCCCGGGGGTTTTTAAAAACCCCACTTGGAAAATAAACCCAAAAATGAAAAAAAAAATTTTTTAAAAATTTAACGATTGCAAAAGGGTTTATAAAAGTTTTTTATTTTTCAAAAAAGTGTCTACAAAAATAAATAGTAGAACTGAAGTAAAGTTTGCGGAAAAAAACCCACCAAAATTTAAACTTTCTAATTTATGCGGGTTTTTCAGTCCTAAAATACGTTTTTTTTCTAAGAAAATTCAAAAAAAACATAAAAAATACATGTTTTTTCGTATGTGAAACCCCAACCCCTCCATTTTTAAGATTTTCCCCCTTGGGTTAATCAAAATCAACTTTTAAAAATATATAGTTTCGCAAAAATTTTTCATTACTAAGTTTTGGGGAGCATATCAAGGCTTGCATTTACAGATCCCCACAAAAGGAAAACCCCCATCGCTTATTCCCCCCTTTTTCTGACATTTTCATTATTTTTTTTACAAAATTCGGGTGTGAAAAATAAATTTAAAGTTTTGATTTGTTTTTCGGCGGGTTTTAAAGGGAAAGGGAGTTTTTAAAGGCTTTTTTTTTCATTCAGCGCCTTGGCCCGGGGTATAGTACCGGAAAGGAATTTTAATGTTGCCCAAACCCTTTTTTTTGGCCCAAATTTTTTTGATCTAAACTTTTTAAAAAATGGACAAAAACCCCTTAAAAATGGAGAAAGGTTGCTGAGATTTCCCCCACCCTTTAAAAATAACACCCCCGCCCAAAAAAACCACAACCCCACAGAAAATTCCCAAACCCCCACGTAAACAAGGACCCATTTTGGGCCACTGGTACCTTTTGTGGGGGGAATTTCCGGTTTTTGGGAAACCCCACAGTGCTCCCAGAGGCCCGAAGGGGTTATTGTTAAAAAAAAAACAAAAAAAAAGTTTTAACAACAACAAAAAAAAATTGGGCATCATTAATTTTTAAAAACCAAAAAAAAATAAAGTTTCCCCTTAATTTTGTACCAACTTTTTATTTCTATTTTTAGACTTTTAACAATTTTTTTAAAATTTTTTTAAAGGGAATTTTTCAAAACATCAAATTTTTTTTATTTTTTTCGTGAAATTTGCTAAAAAATTCCCAGGGGACTAAACAAAAAAAGATTTACATTCAAAGATATTTTTTAAAATAAGTGGAAAATTTTGTAAAATTTTTTCTTAAACTTCTTTATAAATTTTTAAATTTTTGGTGGCATTTCAGAAAAAATCGAAAAAAAGGTTTAAAATAAAACACATGTCTACTTTAATAAAAATATTTTGTTTATTAACAAAAACCCCAACCCAAAACATGTACGTGAATTTGAGCACTAATTTTAAAACCATGTTTTGCCCTTCTAAACAATGATAATTTAACTTCGATTTCATAATTTAAATATAAAACCTTTTCAGGTTATATTTTTTTATCCCTTTTTTTTTCAAAAAAAATTAAAAAGGCCCCCTTGTTTTCCCTAATAAAAAATTATTTCATATTTTTATCAAATTTTTAACAAGGATTGGAAAAGTCGGGACTTTGGGTCGCAAAAAAATTTTTTAAATAGGAAAAAAAAATTTTTTCCATCTTTTTAGGGCCGTTTTGGCCACAAAGCTAAAAGGAAGGGGGCCTTTTGAAATTTTTGTTTAAAAGGTATTAAAAAATTTTATTTTTTTCCAATTTTATTTCACTTATGGGAAAATTTTTCTATAAACTTCTCCCTTACTTTTAAGTGGGGGGTTTGATCTTTTTCCCCTAAAAAGTTTCCCGCAAAAAGTGAAAAATTTATTATTTCCCGGTCGTTTTTTTAAAAAGGCAAAAACCCGGTTTGTAAAGGGTCTAAAAAAAGCTGTATATCTTTTTAAAATGTATTTTCTTAATATACAAAAAAAGTTATCTAAACTTCTTTGACTTGACCAACTGGTCTTTTTTTATGTGACCCAGTGTACTGAATAGTCCAGTAAAGAATAAATGGCGTTACTGTAAATGTATGTACATGTATATAATTTGCCCTGACCTTAAAAGGATTTCCTCAACTTTACTGACATTGAAACAGATCAAGCAACATATGGACATTGATCGACTGGTCTTATTACTAGTATGAGAAGACACATGAGCCGCGCCACAACAAAACCATCCGCGCAGTCTGATCAGGATCCATGCTGTTCGCTATTAGTTTCTCTAATTGTTATAGAGTATGTAAGCGAACAGCATGGATCCTGATCAGACTGCGCGGATGCGCAGGCTGGTCTGAATCCATGCTGGTCGCAAACCCATTATGTTGGTTTTGTCATGACGCGGCTCATATCAGAACATTACCAGAAAAGACTCAAACTTAACCCACCTTACATCATTTCCTCCGTGAGCAAAAGATCCAAACACCGCAGTAAGTATTTGTAGGAAAGAAAATAAACCAGCCGTTTCCGGTTTGTCTTGAACTTTGTCACGTGCAGCGCTTCTCTCGGACTGAAAAGTTTAATATAATATGAATTAAACAATGTTACAAGGTATATACCAAATATGACCTTTTAAGACAGTTGGTCTCTTTTTGGCTGTCACTCAGTTATAATTTATCAATGAAAGGTTTTTGAAGAATAGCCTTTATTTAAAAGGTGATCTTAATTCAGAGGTTGTATTAAATATACTTTAAGAATGATACTACATCAAAGTACATGTATATGAAGTATTTAAATCAAAACATTGATATTTCGTTTAAATGCCTAAATTAAGAATTCGTGCACGACATAACGTAACCAACTGGCGAGCGTAGACAGGAAGTGAAATTCAGTAAACGTATGGTCCTGCATGTTCCGACACAGTTACTCCAAGAGGTGGCACTCGTGACCTTTAAAAAATATGTTAAAATAATTTGACTTTTAATTGTATTTTTTTTGTCTTGTGAAGATACCTTCTCGGGTTCGTCTGCCTCGTGAGCTATTTCAATGTCAACATTATTCACGTCACTGTCGGTATTTAATGGTTCTTTTTCTTCATCTAATGCTGACTGATCTTCGTCCTTTTCTGAAGAAGATTCAATATTGATATATAAAATAGAGCACATAAGGTTGTAAGTTCGAGCCAAAGCAAGCTGATGCCCCCCCTCATTTGTCCCCTTTATACGGTTTCATTTCAGTAAAAAAAAAAATTGAAAAGACTTTTTTTTTTAATTAAAATTTTAGTTTTTTCAAAATTGACAAAAAATAAAATCTTTTAGATTGATCAAAAAATTTAAAATGAAAAAGTTTGTGTTTTTAAAATAAATACAAAAATACTTTGAAACTTGAAAACTGGTTTGCTGAGGGAAATTTACAGTTTTGGGGGGTTTTGGGAAATTTTAGTTTTTTATTGGGGGTTACGGGTTGTTAGTATATTTAACCCAAAGTTGAGTTTTAAATAATTTAGTGAAAAATTCCAAAAAAGTGGTAAAAAAATCATTGAACGAGTCGAAAAAAACATTTTTGGGAGGAAAACCCTGATGAAAAAATTTTTTAAATTTTGATTAAAACCCCAAAAAAAAATAATTTTTAGGGAAAGAAAAATTTATTTTATCCCATTTTAAAGTGAAGTAAAAATTTTTAGATTTTATTTTGGATGAAAAATTTCATTTGGGCAAATCCCTTGCAATTATTGTATATTGCTTTAAAAAATTGAAATTAAAGGTAAATCCAAAGACAAGGCATGATTAAACTTTAAAAAAGGTACATTAATGTGAAAAAATTTTTATTGTTTTCATAGATAAACACATGTTTTTAAGTTTCCCACTGAAACTTTTTTTGCTTTTTTCAAATTTGCATGGCTTTTAAAACAAAACCCTCCTTTGTTTGGGAAACGAAAATGGGATGCGATTTGGATTAATGATTAAAGTTCGGGAAACTCGGGAAATTAAAACCGAGGCAAAATATTGCTGTTGATATGGTTTTTGGTTTGGATTTTATAAAAAAAAACAATTTAAATTTAAATTGATCAAAATTTTTTTTTCATGGAAAACCCCCAAAGGTAAAAATTTCTACCCCTAAATGGCATTATGCAAAATTGTTTTGGGTTTTAATTTTTTAAAAATGTGACTTTAATACGGGTTTATCTTTCAAAAATTTTAAAAAGTTACGTCAGTAAATATCTATAAATTCTCATATCTTTTTTAATACAAATCAGTGAATGGGATTTGTCCCCTTTTAATATTAAACAGTTAAAAAGATTTTTCCCCCCTTAAAATGATACAAAAGGGGCAAAAAGGTAAATTTTGAATTATATTGTATGTGTTATGAATAGCAATAAAACAAAAAAAGGCGTTTTCTTTTACAAGTTTATACTATATGTATACTTACCATTTATTCAAAAAGGTTTTTTTTAAATTGGGGTATCCCCTTTGGGGCCTCTTTGTCATTTTTTTCTTTATAAAAATGGGGCCCGAAAATTTCCCCGGGTAAATTTTGGTTAAAAAAAATTTATTTAGTTTTCCCTTACAAACCATAAATATATTTCTACCAGATGAAAACTCGCAGTACAGGTTTGTACAGATTTTTATTATTATTTTAGTTCAATGCGAGTAGGAAGCTGTATTGAATTGAATTGAATTTAATTTAAAGACCTACATCCAATGGAATAATAATCTCGAAAACAATTTTCCAGTCCAGTCATGTAGAAAAATACCCTCAGTGGAGTCCCTTTTAAATGCACATGATATATTTCAAAACAGACTCTTTGGAGAAAAGGGATGGAGCAAAATTTCTAGTTTCGTTAGTGATAAAGCAACTTAGAATAAAGCCGGCAAATTATCTTAATGTGTAGATGCGGACCAACAACAACATTCTCGGTCAAAAGTGTTGCCACTGTCCTAATACAAGATGAATCTAGCTAATAGGGCTCAGCCTGTAGGCGTCGTTTGTCCTCCATTTTATTATCATGTAATGTATTAAATTTCCTTTTTGTTTGGGTTAAAGGGGGGGAGGTGTTCAGGAAAAAATTGCCCTTTAAAATTTTTAATTTTTAAAATTGACAATAAAATTTAAAACAAAAGTCAGTAAAATACATTTTTTTAAAGGGAAAAATTGTTTTTTAATTGTTTTGGAGTTTTTTATAATGGGAAAATTTCTTAAAGTATTGGGGTTTGAACCCCTTTTTAAAAACATTCCCAGTTTTACATTACCTTTCTTCAAGTTTTGTTATATGTGGCGTTATTGTGTCAGACGTCCCTTCCTCCTGGAGCAGCTTTTTACACCGATCTGAACAGAGAATTGTACTGTATTACATTACAAAGTATCTAATTATTTCATTACAGAATTTGACGAAATAAATCAAACACTGATGTAAATAAAGTTAGTTCCCTATTCCTTATTCCTTTTTCGAATAAGGAATAAGGAATCAGTTCCTTATTCCTTTTTCGAATAAGGAATGGGGAACTAGTTCCTGATTCCTTATTCAAATCTAAAAAAGGAACAGCAGAATTAGTATTTATTTAAAATAAAATTTATACCTCATTCAAATCATTGCATAAAGAATCTGCATAAATTATTTTGAAAAAAAAATCGAATAAGGAATAGGAAACCAGTTCCTTATTCCTTATTCAACTCCGAATAAGGAACAGAAGTAAATACGTAAAGAAAAGACACCAGTTGCAATTATTTTTGACAAATCTGCATTAGAATTGCAAGGATCAATCATAAAAATCATGAAATAAAGCATCTGCATAAAAATATTTTTGAAAAAAATGTTAAAGTCGAATAAGGAATAGGGAACCAGTTCCCTATTCCTAATTCAACTCCGAATAAGGAACAGAAGAAAATACGTAAAGAAAGACACCAGATGCAGTTATTTTTGATAAATCTGCATTAGAATTGCAAGAATCAATCATTAAAATCATGAAATAAAGCATTTGCATGATTTATTTTTGAAAAAAAATATTAAAGTCGAAAAAGGAATAGGGAACCAGTTCCTTATTCCTTATTCAACTCCGAATAAGGAACAGAAGGAAATACGTAAAGAAAGACACCAGTTGCAGTTATTTTTGATAAATATGCATAAGAATTGCAAGAATCAATCATTAAAATCATGAAATAAAGCATCTACATAATTTTTTTTTGAAAAAAATGTTAAAGTCGAATAAGGAATAGGGAACCAGTTCCTTATTCCTTATTCAACTCCGAATAAGGAACAGAAGGAAATACGTAAAGAAAGACACCAGTTGCAGTTATTTTTGATAAATCTGCATTAGAATTGCAAGGATCAATCATAAAAATCATGAAATAAAGCATCTGCATGAAAATATTTTGGAAAAAAAATGTTCAGGTTCATTCGACTCCGAATAAGGAACAGAAGTAATTACGTAAAGAAAGACAGCAGTTGCTGTTATTTTTGATAAATCTGCATAAGAATTGCAAGGATCAATCATTAAAATCATGAAATAAAGTATCTACATATTTTTTTTGAAAAAAAATTTTAAAGTCGAATAAGGAATAAGGAACCAGTTCCTTTTTCCTTATTGAACTCCGAATAAGGAACAGAAGGAATTACGTAAAGAAAGACACCAGTTGCAGGTATTTTTGATAAATCTGCATTATAATTGCAAGGATCAATCATAAAAATCATGAAATAAAGCATTAGCATAAAAATATTTTGGAAAAAAAATGTTCAGGTTCATTCGACTCCGAATAAGGAACATAAGTAAAAACGTAAAGAAAGACAGCAGTTGCAATTATTATTGATAAATCTGCATTAGAATTGCAAGGATCAATCATTAAAACCTTGAAATAAAGCATCTACATAATTTTTTTTTGAAAAAATGTTTAAGTCGAATAAGGAATAGGGAACCAGTTCCTTATTCCTTATTCGACTCCGAATAAGGAACAGAAGTAAATACGTAAAGAAAAGACACCAGTTGCAATTATTTTTGATAAATCTGCATTAGAATTGCAAGGATCAATCATAAAAATCATGAAATAAAGCATCTGCATAAAAATATTTTTGAAAAAAATGTTAAAGTCGAATAAGGAATAGGGAACCAGTTCCCTATTCCTTATTCAACTCCGAATAAGGAACAGAAGAAAATACGTAAAGAAAGACACCAGTTGCAGTTATTTTTGATAAATCTGCATTAGAATTGCAAGAATCAATCATTAAAATCATGAAATAAAGCATTTACATAATTTTTTTTTTTTAAAAAAATGTTAAAGTCGAATAAGGAATAGGGAACCAGTTCCTTATTCCTTATTCAACTCCGAATAAGGAACAGAAGGAAATACGTAAAGAAAGACACCAGTTGCAGTTATTTTTGATAAATATGCATAAGAATTGCAAGAATCAATCATTAAAATCATGAAATAAAGCATCTACATAATTTTTTTTGAAAAAAAAAATGTTAAAGTCGAATAAGGAATAGGGAACCAGTTCCTTATTCCTTATTCAACTCCGAATAAGGAACAGAAGGAAATACGTAAAGAAAGACACCAGTTGCAGTTATTTTTGATAAATCTGCATTAGAATTGCAAGGATCAATCATAAAAATCATGAAATAAAGCATCTGCATAAAAATATTTTGGAAAAAAAAATGTTCAGGTTCATTCGACTCCGAATAAGGAACAGAAGTAATTACGTAAAGAAAGACAGCAGTTGCAGTTATTTTTGATAAATCTGCATAAGAATTGCAAGGATCAATCATTAAAAATCATGAAATAAAGTATCTACATATTTTTTTTGAAAAATTTTTTTTAAAGTCGAATAAGGAATAAGGAACCAGTTCCTTTTTCCTTATTGAACTCCGAATAAGGAACAGAAGGAATTACGTAAAGAAAGACACCAGTTGCAGGTATTTTTGATAAATCTGCATTAGAATTGCAAGGATCAATCATAAAAATCATGAAATAAAGCATTAGCATAAAAATATTTTGGAAAAAAAATGTTCAGGTTCATTCGACTCCGAATAAGGAACAGAAGTAATAACGTAAAGAAAGACAGAAGTTGCAATTATTATTGATAAATCTGCATTAGAATTGCAAGGATCAATCATTAAAACCTTGAAATAAAGCATCTACATAATTTTTTTTTGAAAAAATGTTTAAGTCGAATAAGGAATAGGGAACCAGTTCCTTATTCCTTATTCAACTCCGAATAAGGAACAGAAGGAAATACGTAAAGAAAGACACCAGTTGCAGTTATTTTTTTATAAATCTGCATTATAATTGCAAGGATCAATAATAAAAATCATGAAATAAAACATCTGCATAAAAAGTATTTTGGAAAAAAAAGGTTCAGGTCATTCGACTCCGAATAAGGAACAGAAGTAATTACGTAAAGAAAGACAGCAGTTGCTGTTATTTTTGATAAATCTGCATAAGAATTGCAAGGATCAATCATTAAAATCATGAAATAAAGCATCTACATATTTAAAAAAAAAATGTTTAAGTCGAATAAGGAATAGGGAATCAGTTCCTTATTCCTTATTCAACTCCGAATAAGGAACAGAAGAAAATATGTAAAGTAAGACAGCAGTTGCAATTATTTTTGATCAATCTGCATAAGGATGGCAATGATCAATAATTAAAATCATGAAATAAAGCATCTACATATTTATTTTTAACTGGTTCCTTATTCCTTATTCGACGTTAACATTTTTTTTTTCAAAAAAAATTATGTAGATGCTTTATTTCATGATCTTAATGATTGATCCTTGCAATTCTTATGCAGATTTATCAAAATTAACTGCAACTGGTGTCTTTCTTTACGTAATTACTTCTGTTCCTTATTCGGAGTCGAATGAACCTGAACATTTTTTTTTCTCAAAATATTTTTATGCTCATGCTTTATTTCATGATTTTAATGATTGATTCTTGCAATTCTTATGCATATTTATCAAAAATAAATGCCACTGGTGTCTTTCTTTACGTATTTCCTTCTGTTCCTTATTCGGAGTTGAATAAGGAAAAAGGAACTGGTTCCCTATTCCTTATTCGACTTTAACATTTTTAAAAAAAAGAATTATGTAAATGCTTTATTTCATGATTTTAATGATTGATCCTTGCAATTCTTATGCAGATTTATCAAAATTAACTGCAACTGGTGTCTTTCTTTACGTAATTACTTCTGTTCCTTATTCGGAGTCGAATGAACCTGAACATTTTTTTTCTCAAAATATTTTTATGCTCATGCTTTATTTCATGATTTTAATGATTGTTTCTTGAAATTCTAATGCAGATTTATCAAAAAGTAATTGCAAGTAGTGTCTTTCTTTACGTATTTTCTTCTGTTCCTTATTCGGAGTTGAATAAGGAATAAGGAACTGATTCCCTATTCCTTATTCGACTTTTACATTTTTTTTCAAAATAATTTATGCAGATTCTTTATGCAATGATTTGAATGAGGTATAAATTTTATTTTAAATAAATACTAATTCTGTTGTTCCTTATTTAGATTTGAATAAGGAATCAGGAACTAGTTCCCTATTCCTTATTCGAAAAAGGAATAAGGAATAGGGAACTAACTTTATGTACATACTGTGCACATTTTTGTCTGGTAAACAGATTGTTTTACAATGTATTCACATGTATTCTTATTTATCTTATTATGATGTTTATCTAGTTATACGTATGAGCAGGGTCTTTCTTTTTGAAAGACCCTGCTCTAAGAGTGTTCATGAAATTACCATAAATTCCCTTATATGAAATTAAAGTCTTTCGCCATGTGTTTTTTTTTCTTCAATATGCATATGAAACGTTGTTTATAAACTCTGCTTTAGCCGGTGCGAAATGGCACGGAGGGTACCTTGCATTTACCACTACCATCCATGAACAGGCTCAATAAAACCGAGCCTGCAACATTTTCAATATTGCCGTCTTTTTTGCTTTCTTAAGGGATTCCGTTTTCTCTTTTTAAATGATCTATTTTTTGAACAAGCTTCATTCCCGGGTTCGTACTCTCGGTGCCTGAAAGGGCGGATTGACCCTCATTTAATTTATGTCGGATTCTATTTGCTACTTTGTTTTTGTATCTGTCTTAATATTTGTAATTGCTCATGTGTATAGTGTTTAAACATGTTTTCGTTTCTATATCTTATAATGCTTAAGGGAAGGATAGTTACTTATGTTGCTAGAACTTGTTGTTCAACCCTTTTGCCCTTTGTTAAAAAATGTTGTTTTGTGGAAATAATGTTCTAAAATTGTATTCAAAGAGCAATAAAATATTATCAAACTAATTTAATGGACATTCTTTAGGGATTCCGTTATCTCTATTTAAATACCTATACAGTGAAAAAGCTTCATTTTGGGTTCGTAACCTCAGTGCCTGAAAGGGCGGATAGACCCTCATTAAACCTAGGCTGCCGTATACTTGTACAACGGTAAACTTAAAACATTGTCCGCCTTACAGTTCGTCATAAAATATCTTAAGATACATAAAGAAATACATGTATAAAGTACACAGGAATCTCACTCCCTTTTTACACGTGTTTACTTCATGGTGTTGAGATATTAGTCTTTATGTTTTTCTTCAGCGTAGAACAACTATATAGAATCGTGTCTTTCTTTTCTAATTACATTTTCTCAGTTGAAACTTACCTTGGATTTTCTTTCGTTGTCTGGGAACTAGGAATATCTTTACCAGTATTGCGATGATAATGGGCGGCACAAACGTTAGAATTAACGTCCCATACAACGGGATTTTGTTAAAGTGCAAAACTGAAGTGAAATATGTGATAGGAAATGTAATTTAGACAGAGCACTCACTACCAACAGTTTTATGGCATCTCATGTATATGTCAGAGTTAATCGTTCCTTTTAAATTAATAGAAGATTGTAAAAGTAAAAAAAAAACATGATTATATAAATGTGATTTCGAGGCTACACAAACTTTAAAAAAACAACAACTAATGTATAAAATTTTTCTATGCGGTATAGTGTCATTTAACTTGGTTTTAAGGTAAGAATTTCGTTTTGAATACAATGTAAAGTGAGAGTCTTTTAGATTTGAGTACCAATATCACCGTATAAACCAATCTATACCACAAATTATATATCACCGTATAAAACAATCTGTATAAACATAAAATAACCTATATCACCGTATTAAACAATCTATACCACCGTATAAAACAATCTATATCACCGTATAGAATAATATCTACCACCGTAAAAATAATCTACCTCACCGTATAAAACAGTCTATATTACCGGTATAAAACAATCTATATCACCGTATAAAATAATCTACATCACCGTATAAAACATTCTATATTACCGTATAAAACAATATGTATATCGCAATATAAAACAATCTATACCACCGTATAAAAAATAAAACTTACGTTCAGATCCTTTGTAGAAGACAGAGAACAAGTTAACAGCCAATGTTAAAGCGTAAAACACCGGTAGCAGTCTTAGACCATATTCCAATGGTTTCTCCTGAAACAAAATACATTATGTTATATATAATGTTACCATTTAAATAAAATTCATGTCTTACATATCAATGTCGTATCATTTACATACAATAGAAAAATTCCATTATATTATAAAAGTCTATACAGTATATTAATTTAGATCCGTTGCGGAACTACGGACATGAAATTGCAATATATGCTACATTTTAACTATTATCTCGCGGACTCGTCCAATCTTTTAATCTGAGCATCACCATTCATTTTTTTCAGGTAAAATTACAAAAATATGTATTGACTGAATAACGAACAGTGCAGACTGTGACCACACGGCTGAGATGTGCCGATCGATTATGGTCTGCTCTTGGCGCTCGTGTTGATTTTGTAGTTGCAGGTAGTCTTAGAGTTAAAATATATGTGCACTGCAATTTTGAAACGACCAAGCAATGCGGCTTACTTTGTTTATACAGAATTTATATTAGTTTGTTTGTGTTGGAAGATTATAGCTTATGGCCATACTCTCAAATCTGTTCCGGGAACCAACAAGTACTGAGCAATGAGTGTAAAGTTTCTTGCTCACGACGGGGTTTGAACCCACGCGAACAGCGATCTTTAGATTAAAGTCCGATGTGTTAACCACTCGGCCATGGTGCCACTTTAAAATGTTCGACAATCATACTTTAAATAATAATGATGAAAATCGTAACTAAACCACAGAAAGAGTAATCCAATTAAGGAAATAACATATGCAATTATGGACATCACATATGCAGTTAAAGATTAACATATGCAGTTAAGGACATAACATATGTAATTAAGAACATAACATTAACGAAATAAAATGAGTTACCTTAGACAAGACTAGAACGTCGAGCAACTTAAAGAGCAAGGCTGATACGATACCGGACAATAGAGGAGAAATGAACCATGATGCGGCTAAAATAAAAAATGTAACAAATAAATAAATGATGTAAAAGGAGAATTATATAAGTAATAAAACAAGATAAATGGAAAATCTATATAACGATAATACATGTTTTTTTCTCTAAATTCTGTACTTGTATGATTGTGCCTTAGAGGAAACAGAAAAAAAAAATACGGAAAAGGGCGGCTCTAACTGAAGACGCATGGTATACCTGAAATCTTTTATTTACACCTTTTATATTGATTAGCATAAAAAGAAACTTCATTAATTTTAGTTCTCCGAATATACGAGGGCACAACACAATTAAACCATGATTTGCACGTGAAAGTACAGGTATAATATACCGTTGGAAAGATTATTGATTTTTCTAACCAACAGTCTATTTTCGCCAGATTTTTGCACGTGCAATAAAATTTTAGCCGGTCTCTTATATTAATGTGGCTTTGTACATGTATAATATACCATTGGAAAGATTATTGATTTTTCTAAAGGACAGTCTTCGCACGATTTGCACGTGAAATAAAATTTTAGCAGGTCATTTATATACATGTGGCTTTCGACATGTATGATATGTCATTGTAAAGATTATTGATTTTTCTAAAGGACAGTCTTTGCACGATTTGCACGTGCAATAAACTATAGAAGGACAATTATATACATCTGGTTCTGTATACTGGTTGTAAACATGGTTGAGTTGAATTGTGATTTGAAAGAGAAGAAAAGAGTCTAAGTTTAAGGAAGGAAGAAATAATGTTAAGTATGATCCCCGCCCTTAGAGGCCAATTCCCGCTACCTCTGAAAAAGACATCATCACTGTCAAAGTCATAGTTAATGAAGATGCAAGATATACCATGGAGGAAATAAGTGACATATCGGGCCTTAGTATGTCATATGTAATTTCCATATTGAAAGAAAAGTTAAAGTTAAGGAAAGTGTGCGCCCGTTAGATCCCGCATTTGCTAACTTCTGACCAGAAGCGGGGTGGTTTTAAAAAGCCTCGGTGTTATTGACTAGGTTCAAAGATCGAGACCCTAGACGCCTGAGAAAAATTGTCACAGGGGATGAAACGTGGCTTTATTTTTTTAGCAGTAGGTGAAAACAGCGATCGCCCAGTCGTTGCTCGACGTAGCAGGAGCGCTGAAAGAGTTGTGTACGCTCTTTTTTACAGTGATGAAATAGTGGCCCATGTCGCTTTGCCTGAGAGGGGGAGTACCATTTGAACATATAACCATGACCATGTTCTCACAGCTGTAGTTAATCACTACATTACAAAGAACCCGAGGTCCGGATGCGCAGGATCAAATTACTCCATGATAATGCACCTGCTCAGCGGTTAGCCTTGGAGAGGAGCAGAGAATTGAGGTAATTGTGACTTTTTGTAAAATCCACTCATCAAATCTTGCATTCGCAGTCGCCGGTTCAAAGCCCGTAGTGCCATCGGAAGCGCTCTCTACCAGTGTATAAACAGTATACCCAAAGAACATTTCATAAATGTTTTTTTTTTCGGAATGAATTTTGATGCTGGAAAAATGTGTAGAGGTCCATGGCGAATATTTTGAAGGACTCTACAAATCATTATCTACTTTTATTTATTATTATTTTTTATTCTACTTATCTATAAAAACGCGCTGCCGTTGCCACTAATTAAGATATGCCCCTCGTATAATAGTTTCTGTTTAGCATTTAAATAAGATAAAAAAATTGTGTACTATTATTTCAAAATCCGTATATTATTTTACCTATCATAGCAAGTTTTATCCAGCCTATTCCCTTAACACCATTTACCACCATAGAGAACCCGAGTGTCGCTCCAACAATGCTATGAGTTCCGGACACCGGAAGTCCAAATAATGTCGCCACCATCAACCAGATGCACGAGCCTGGAAAAATGAAAAATAAAAGGAGAATCAAGAATTTAGGATAACAATTTCTGTCAATGAAAGTTGGTGTTTTAACTTTAGGTATTAGACAAAATATTAATCATTAATTTTATTCATGACATATCTGTACATAAGACATAAATGAATTAATGAAAAGAATTATCAAAAATTGTACAATGTTAAATTTTCTGTATTGATATAGAAAGTGAGAATTAAAGTCATGAAACAATGTATGTCCTGAAAGAAAATGTTGTTTTTAATTTTTTTTCTAACCTGTGAGGGCAGCCACATTTCCCGCCATGAATACATCCTCGGTGCCATTTGTATAAATATCAGGGGAAATAATCCCTTTTCTGATCGTATTTGACACCTTAGCCCCTGAAAAAATCGGCAATCACATCGTATAAACTAATTCAGAATAAGTTTACTGTACTTCGAGTTTTTATTGTTTTATTTTATACATGTATTTAATTAAAATGACATTCGTGAAAAATGATCAAATAGTAATCTCTTGGTGTTGTCTATTAACCGGATACCTGTTATTAGATGCCCGTCCGACCATATGTCAAATGAGAGGTCAATATAACGACCATGTCATACAAAAGTTAGATACATCAATATTGATTAAGTTATTCATGGTATGATGGTCATGTCATACAAGAGGTAGATATGATAGCCGTGTCATACAAGATGTAGATATGATGGTCATGTCACACAAGAAGTAGATATGATGGTCATGCCATACAAGAAGTAGATACGATAGCCATGTCATACAAGAGGTAGATATGATAACCATGTCATACAAGAAGATAATATGATAGCCATGTCATACAAGAGGTAGATATGATAGTCATGTCATACAAGAAGTAGACATGATAGCCATGTCATACAAGATGAAAATATGATAGCCATGCCATACAAGAAGTAGATATGATAGCCATGTCATACAAGAGCTAGATATGATGGTCATGTCATACAAGAAGTAGATAGGATTGTCATGTCATACAAGAGATAGATATGATAGCCATGTCATACAAGAAAAAGATATGATAGCCATGTCATACAAGAAGAAGATATGATAATCATGTTATTCAAGAAGAAGATATGTGACAAAGTTAACCAATGTTTGAAGGTTTTTAAAGGTTGTATAAAATGCTAACGTATTTCGGTCTTACATGGTAGTTTTTTTCTAGTATACAAACTGAAAATAAATGTAAGAGACATATCTAAACATTGATTATACTAAAACCTTGATCTATTTTACCTGTGCGGTGGTTAGCATTTTTATGTATCAAAAATCGTGGGCGCTCAACAATTTCCGCCTGTGACGTCATTTGTACTAAAATATTTTTTTTAAACCCTTTTGAAGAAAAAAAAACAACAAAAAACAAAACGAGTGATGTAATCTTACCCACTAAAATAGCTCCCATAATTTCAAAAATGGTACCAAGAATACACGCTTGTCTTATGGTAAGAACTTTAGCCCCTACCGACGTTCCGAAAGCGTTAGCTACGTCGTTTGCGCCGAGACCGAAGGCAAGCACAAATGCAATGATGAAGCCGAGTATGACCAACCAGAGCCACGTGTCGTCGTATAGTACCATCCTCGCAAAGCTAGCGTCCGTGAGTTCGAATCTGTAGATAAACAAAGGGAAATATATTCAAATTTTAATTGTATGTGCTTTTTTTATTGTGATGTTATTTTGTCTAAGTTAAGTAAGAATACGTTAAGCATTTGATACTTCATTGTACATGATTTAGGCAAGCATTCAATTTCTGGAAAATCAGCCATTCAGGCTAAAGCTATAACAGACTCGCTTCGATGGTCCAGGAGTTTATCAATGAGATAAAGCATCAGTCGCGACACCTAATCAGGGTTCTGCTGCTAATACTGTTTGCGAGGGATGAACGTCTCTCCAAAATGACTTCAGTATTTAGTTTTACGTCGAACCAACCTAGTACAGGTCATAATAGCGACTTTCCAACTGAAAATGGTTGAGGGAAAACCCCCCCCCCCCTCCATTGCAACAAATTTTTTTAAGAGCCCGGAAGGGGAACTATTACCACAAATTAAATTTTGGGCGTTATTTTCTTTAAAGCTGGGAAAAACATCTTAAAACCAAAACCTTCTGATGTCCCAAAAAAAAGACGGGTTTGAGTACCTTAATATAATTTCTAAAACACAAAAAGTGCATGATTCAAGTTGTTCAATATATTCTTAATGTATTTTACTCTGTCAAAAGATTATTTCAGTAAAAAATGATCTTCCAAACCAGAAGATGCATAAGTTATCACACTTAATATATATATTCAAGAGATATATACGATCTCCTAAATAGAACACGAAAAGGAACTATGTCATAATTATGTTGGTGTCTAATGATTTAACAAAATCATAGATAAAATAAAAAATTTACTATTAGAGAATAAGACTTATTTTACACATACTCATACGACTAATTTCATCTTGCAACTTTAGCAAGACTTTAGCGCTTCTTTTTCAATTTTATGTTTGCATCAGCAAATAAATGGTCGAAATGAATATAAAATTAGTCAATACAAAGTTAAAGGAATTATTAAATTAGATCATCTAAAATAATAGAAATACTTTTATTTTGTCAATGATGTAACGAAACAATTCTATATACGTGCGAGGTTACCCTCGCCGTCACATTTGTATATTATTTGTTATAAAGATTTCTGACAGGTTATATGGCCCTATATAAACGTTTCTTTGGAAATATAACCCGAGCCGCTAGGCGAGGTTTATATCGCAAACAACCGTTTATATACGGCCATATAACCTGTCAGAAATATTTATAGCAAATTTATAATACAGCAAGCATCATTTTTAAAAGAAAAAAAGTAAGATTTTTTCATAAATCGGCATCAGCCGTGTATATAAAACTATATAAACGTCACGATTATCCAATGAAAAGCGACGTTACAAATGTGCATTATTATAAAAAATAATAAACATAACGTGTTCACATCAACTGATATATATGTGTGTCTTACCTATAAATATCTATCAATAAATAGTCCAAATATTTTACAAAGGATATTATATATTCAAACATGACAGCTGACTCGAATAAAATGAAAATTTAATTCGCACAAGTTAATAATCATACATTAATTTATTGTTTTATTACGCTAAACATTACGTTGTTATTTCTAACAGTGGTTAAGGACAATTGAAACGCGAAATCACTCTTTAAACATCGTTTGAGTTTTACTGTTAATTACCTTTTAAAGGCGCATTATGCCTCAGAAATCGATATCTTTTTTAAAATTCTTTAGAAACGTCAAACATGTGTTTAATAATATTTAATTAACGACGGATTAAGAGCATGTTAGACGATTTACAACTGGTTAAAAGTAGCGCTGAACATGCAGTTTTCTTTCATAAATATTGCAAAATGTAAACAAAATAGTATTTTGACTTCCATACAAAATGCAAATTCAGTATAATTTACAAATTGCCAAGAGAGCTTAAGATGCAAAGATAGTTCATGTATGTAGCAAAGGAGTATATTTTTAGAAACATGTCTCTAACAAGATACCAAAAATAAACAGTTTTTGAGATATAAAAATTTCTGAGGCATAATGGGCCTTTAAAGACACATTTATTCTCCAGCTAGTTGTACATGTAAACGTTAACAGTCATCCTAAATAAGATTTTTTCCATTCTGTATTATTTTAGGCAGGAAACAATTTATAAATGTTTATTTATTTTCCGATGAAAATCTAATGTTGGGAGAATTAGATCTATTGGGACTTTAATAAGTTTAATATCGAGGAATTCCTTGGTGAAATTTATTTAGACACCGGTATATGTGAGAAAAATGTTAACTCTTCTATGTCAAGGGTATTAAGCCTTTGATTTAAACAATTACAAATTGAATGTCATTTTTAAGTTTAAGAAACCATGCTTCATCAAATTAAGTTTTGCATTTTAAGGTATGTTGTACCAAATGTTTTAGCCAATGGCATTGATTGTCGGTGTAAATGCCGGATGCATTATAAAGTTTAGTTGAGTTGAAGTTTAATTTGTTAAGATATAAATATACATGTTATATACAAAATTTACGCAGATGAATCAGCTCTTCAAATTAACTTTTTCGGTGGACACGGAGTTACTCACCCTAGGGAAATTTAAACCCAGAGCGAAATCCAAAACGAGACAATCCACCTTACTGTCTACATTGTGTCCCAGACGTTAATTATTTGATACTGTCATTTTGAAATTTGATAGGGTTGATGAAAAAGTTTTTTATGTAAACATTTACATGTATAAGATGTCTGGAGTTGTTTCCCTTTATTCTCAAATTGCCCAATTGCACTAATGGCCAAATTACACTCATTTCCTAATTACATTTAAAGTAGCAATATTATCAAAAAATTACGATTGCTGTAAAAGAATATGTAAATCTTATGTGATCAATGGGTACGAAACATAACGAGTGGTCAGATGTCCCTCGCAATATCTTGAAAACTGTCCGCTTCAAATTATTACAGAAGCTTGAATGAGGAAAATATTCTCTTAAGTATAGCTGATAAGTAAAATTGCGCTGAAATTTTCAGATAATAAGCATATTCACTTGCTTTCTTAAACAACGAACCAGGATTGAATTAAAAAAGTTTCGATAAATCTGTCTACTTTTTTTGTCCAACATATTTTAAGCAAGTGTACATTGATTGCTGCATCAGTCGCGTATAACAATCACGTGGTATTGTGTGCATGCAGTGCGCATGAGTTGTACATGTATTGTCACGTGTTGTGCATGTGTTGTGCACGTAGACATTATCCGGAGTTATCTTTATAAGACAGTGGCAAGAAACATGTCCTTTGTAGGCCTTTTCTTTTTATGTTTTTTGTAGGCTTTTTCTTTTTATGTTTTTTTGTGTTTTTTTTTTCTTCTGTTAATGTTTATTTTGTAGGCTTTTTCTGTTTATATTTTTGTGGGGATTTTTCTGTTTATGTTTTTGTGGGGATTTTTCTTTTTATGTTTTTTGTGGGGATTTTTCTGTTTATGTTTTCGTGGGGGACTTTTCTGTTTATGCTTGTTTTGCGGTGTTTTTTTTTTTTTAAAAAACCCTCATAACCGGAAAAATTTAGGGGGGCCCGTCAATCAAAAACTCAATCGGAACATCTCGGCTTTTTATCAATAATTTATCCGAATTTTGAGGGGAAAAGGGGTCGAAAAATTTGCGAGGGTTAATTGACTTATCCACATTCCGGGTAGGACTAAAAGATAGAATGCTGCGATGGTTTTTGTATGGATTGTAAACGTGATCATACAATTGAAATTTTCGTTGAAGTTGCGCCTTAAATGCAATACATAAGCATATAAAATCAGTGGTCATGTAAAAATAAGTGGCCTAGTGGTTAACGCGTCGGACTAGTAATCTAAGGATTGCTGACCGCAAGCGTTCAAACCCTGTCATGGGCAAGCCGAGCAAGAAACTTTACACTCATTGCTTAGTACTGGTTGGTTTCAGGAACAGATTCGAGAGTGTTTCAATAAAAGCTTATAGCTTCCAACACAATCGAACTAAAATAAATTTATATAAACTAAAAATAACAAACGTACCTGATGAAGGAAAAAAAAAAAAAAACAAACAACAACAAACTCCGTCCTACCTTTGAAAGAATGTTAACTGGATCCCGCTTTATGTTTATAATGTCACGTTTGCTTTTGTATTTAAATTTGGTTTTCCTTGTTTTTAAATTGCATTTTAAAAAAATATTGAAAATTTAAAAATTTTGGGGGTATTTATTCAGATGTTTACAAACGGAAAAGGGCAAAACATAATAGTTTTAACCCCTTTGCCGCAGGGGTTTTAACATTTATCTAAACTTTTAAAATTTTCCCCTTTTTAAAACTTTTCTAACCTTTTTTGGGGGTTCAAAAAGGTAAGTGAGGTAGGAAAAGGGTTTTTCATTTAAAGTTTTAAAGGGTTTTAAAAAGTTAAGTTTTAAAAATTTTAACCAAATTTTTTTAAAATTTTTTTTAAATTTAAATTTTTCCAAATACAACTTTTAATATACTTTTTATACGAATTAATAAAGACATGTATTTTGGAATTTAAATTTTTTATGATTTAGAAATTTTTCATAAATTAATTTTTTAAAAGGGGAGTCAACTGAGTTAAAAAAAGCCAATCGCAAAAAAAAAAAAAAAAAAAAAAAAGAAATGAAAATTTGAAAATTATACATTGATCCCGTGAAGGACTTATTAAAATGTAAAATTCTGCAAAGGATGATAAATAAATGTACTCAGAATTAAATCGATAATCAAAAGTACAGGCAATGATTAGCCCAATTTGAGTAAAAAAAAACGTTGCAACTATTTTCATTTTTCTGTCATTTTGCGCAATAAAAATAATTAAATTGAAAAACGGAATAAGGAAATGATCTGAAAATTTGCACACAAGTTATTTGTTCAGACCTTCATCAAATGGCACACTAATCTCAGATAAATATTTCTAATCAGGCTATGCTAAAAAATTCCAGTGGAGTCCCTTTAACAAGTTTCATCATCTACGTAGTCAACGTTTTCTCTGTTCTTCTTGCAAAGCTTATCAAACGTACAAATATTTTATATCTCTTAAAAAAAGGAAAGTAGAAAAAATATTCTTAGTCGTTGTTTAATGATGAAAGATAAGGACTAAAACATTTTTACGATCAAACTGTAAATTTAAACAAAACGACTAAACACGACAAGGTCAATGCAAAGCATAATTATCACTACGAGGCATGGACACACATACAAACTATACCCGCTGTATCAATTTCTTAAACAAATTGTCTCCTTTTTTATCTAAAACAACTACATCAAAGAGAGCACATTATTTTTTTTTCTGGCTAAAAATTTGGTCCACAGAATAAAGTCACAAAGAAACTGCTTCCGTAACTAACGCAAGTTCGTGCGGACTTGGCAGTAACATAGTTCCTCTAATATCAGGGATCGTCGGCTCGAGCTCTCTTGGGGTAACAGCTTTTTTTTCTAATACGACACCAGTGCTGATTAGTTCCTGCAAGCGAGATTGGAAAAGATCTAAAGGCCCATTTTACCCCAGAAATGCTTTAATTTTTTTTTTCAAAAGCTTTTTATATTTTATTTTTGGTGAATTTCTATTATTTCCAAAATCTTACTCATTGGCCAATTACCGTAATCATTTTTTTCTGTTGCATACTGGTAGCGTTGTAGTGAAATTGTCTTTTGTATGAAAGTCAAAATACCATTTAATTTCCATTTTGCTACTTTTATGACAAAAAATTTCACATTAAGCACTACTTTCTTAGTACATGCTCCAAAACCATAATATAAACATTATAGAAGTTAAGTTTGCCGTCAAAATTATAAACATTTACTCGTTTTCTGAGACATAATATGCCTTTAAAAACGGTTAAAAAGGTTCACAATCGAGCATAAGTAAATACAAGCATGAACTTGAGCTGTATCATTGAAAGCAAGCAAAAATTAAATAATATTTTAAAAAATTATCGCGCTCCTATTTCCGGAAAAGACGACAGGTCCATAAAGTCTAAGCTGATTGTAACCAAGGTATTCATTTTATACATTCAAAAACCCCAAAACTGAGAATACATATTGACAACAACCAAACCCGGGCCTCAAAGCATTGTCGTATTTTATTACAATTCTTTTTCATCAAAGTCACAGCGTCCCGAAGTCATACGATATACATGTACATCGTCAGGGTATCCGAATTAAATTACAATTTTTTGTTATCCATTGCAGTTAAGCTAAGCATGAACATTTTATAATGACCGTTTTCATTGTTCGCAGGTCATATATCTCGTTGACCAAGAGTTGCAAAGTCATTAATGAAGATCAGGGATTGATAAATCACAAGTTTTTTTTCTCTAAAGTGTAAATGAAATCTCGTTTCCGTTTGATATATTTTTCAAAGTTGATATTCAGCTAATAAGAAATATAATTAAAGTACATTTAAAATATGTCAAATGTAACCAAATATTTTGTACAATCCCATCTGTCATATATATACAAAAATCCGATATGTTTTTGTTAATCTATACGTTTATTTTAATATGTTTTTTTTTCAAATCTAAAGTCAAAGCGTAAATACTGACATTTGGAAATAACATGACTATTAATTACGAACAATAGATTTACGCATCAAAATATAAACATCGCTCTAGAAAAAATACTACTGTTTGATAACTCAATAAGGTCGCCGGTGTTTGTATCCAGTTACACTGTATATTGATGTTGTACAGTATTTACATTTTACCCATGAAATATGGTGCTATATCAGTCAAGTATATTTCATATTTTTTAAAAATAAATATGAAATATAAATATGAAAGTGGGCGGAGTCAAAACTCATATTTATTTTAAGGGACTTCTTTCGCCATTTTGTTTGAAAAATCTGATAAATATGAAACAACTTTTTGTTGAATTTTGCTTTGAAAACTATCTAGAATGATAGACAATGGTATAACTAAGAAAATAAATCCGAACACCAATATCTTAACTTATTAAATGTCAATGATAGAGTTAGACAGTTAAGACTCAACCACATTCATAAAGTTTATTACAACAAAAGCCCTTCTTATTTAAAGGAATTGTTTAAGGTTTGTAGAATATTCAATTTTAGATCTAGTAATTTTAATTTTGTTTTGCCTCAAAATGATTCTGATGTTAAAAATACATTTTTCTACAATGCCATAAAAGACTGGAATTCTTTACCAGCCAACATTAGATCAATTAACAAACATTTAAAACGAAAGTAAAACTTTTTTTAAGTAATGAAAATGATAAACAAGTGAATGATATGTTTATTTATTATTAAATTGATGTGTAACTTATGATAAGGTTTTGTAACATGTTTATGTTGTACTTGATAATGTTTTAGTTTAAACGGAATTTATTTCATTTTGTTTGTGTACAATGTGATTGTCTTATTATATATTGAAAAATGTGTCTTGATTGTTGAAAATTGTCATTTATTTTAACTTCTTTATAATTCATTTATTATTATGTAAGTTAGTGTAATAATTTTACAGTAAATGGACCCCATTGGAAATAAGCTTATAGCTTAATGGGCAATCCTAGGGTTACATACAGCATACTCATTAATTAATCTTATAATTATTTTTGTTGCATTTATGTGTGTGTTTTATATATATATATGCAAGTTGATATATGTGATAACATTGTATGTGATATGTCTATTCCCTGAATAAATCGATACGATCTTTAATTCAGTTATTAACGCTGTACAGACGTATAAAGAGTTGTTTACGTGACGTCACAATGTAGCGCCAAATATCGCGTACAAAACAAGACGCAATAATATATTACTGCGCGCTGTACAATTGCATTTGCGTAGCAAGCAATGGGGTTCGTAACCATTTTTCTTTGCTAATTAAATTAAATAAAAAGGTTATTTTTTCGGTTTTCGTGAAATATGGTATATATTTTCACCTAGCATGATAAAATGCCACATATTTATCATTATTACAATATATGGCATTTAATCATGTTTCGTGAAAATATATTCCATATTTCACGAAAAACGAAAAAATATCCTCTTAGTATTTACATTTGTATAATTAAAGAGTAAAAATAAAGTATATAAAATCGGTTGTTTTTATTTATTTATTTAATTGTATTGTTTTTCTTTGATTTACGCCAGTACTTAATGTCCAATAGGATTGCAGTATTTCAAATTCCATTTAATATATTGATTGATTTTATTTCATTAATGCTGACTTACAAAAACTAACCTATAAGAATATCAATATGATAATTTTCTATTGTTATTTGAGCCGCGTCAAGACAAAACCAACATAATGGATTTGCGACCAGCATGGATCCAGACCAGCCTGCGCATCCGCGCAGTCTGATCAGGATCCATGCTGTTCGCTTACAAACCCTATAACAAGTAGAGAAACTGATAGCGAACAGCATGGATCCTGACCAGACTGCGCGGATGCGCAGGCTGGTCTGGATCTATGCTGGTCGCAAACCCATTATGTTGGTTATGTCGTGACACGGCTCATATCAATATTTGAAACACTTACGTAAAATGATGACCAGTGCACTTTAAATAAACAAGAAAGTAAGGGTTAACCAATTTTTCAGCTTAAATTAAATATTTAAGGAGCTAGTTTGTAACGTTCTTTTTTCAGATCTAAATATTTATGAGCATTATTTACAATGTCTAAAGCTTTGAATCATAATTTAATTGTGTCACAGTTTGTTGACCTTTCTTTTGAAAATGTGTCAGAGTTAAATCGAATACCCATATATAACTGAAGTGCAAGTCTGCCAGCGATAAAAAAAATAAAAAGAGAGCATGCTCGTTGATTGGCTACATTTTTTCCTGAAAGGAATAACGATAGAAACTTCATATTCAGGTGCTCTTACACTGTTTCTTTTTTCCTGGGATTCCATATTGTGACGACAGAGAACTTGCTTTTATGTTTGCCTATGGTGAACATTTAAACACCCGGCAACCAGATTTATGCCCCTCGTACAAATCAGATTACTTAAAACAACACATCCAAATGTTTGATATCATCTTGTTTGTCTGTGTATGTGTTTTGTTTTGTATTTGTTTTGTATTGTTTTACAATTATGTTATTATTTTAAAATAAAAAAAACATGCACAAAAAAAGCCGCTTTCACTGTCTAGTTCGGAC